GTGCAGCTTTGGACGGTGAAACACGTGTGCATTATTATAGCAAAATTCAGGCAATGGCAGCAAGTCAACCCAATCATCTCGTTGAAATATTGTGAAGCAGTGCAAATATTGTGCTCGGTTTTGATTGACCCGTTATGTTTAGCCGTCAGTCTCTGGGTGGAAAGCACTGCTTAAGGCACGCTCCACCCCCATAAGGGTCATCAGCCCCCCCCAAAATTTTGAAACAAATTGGGAGCCACGATCCGTGATTATCTTGGTTGGAAAAGTGTGAAGCCTAAATACATGTTTAGGGAAGGCTTTAGCTAGCGACCGAGCTGTTGGGAAATTGGGGAATGGGATGAAATGCACTTGCTTGGAAAATAGGTCAATGACTACCCAGATTACCGACATGGATTTGCTAGGTGGTAAATCCATGATAAAATCCATAGAAATCACCTCCCATGGTCTACTGGGAGTCGGCAATGGTTTTAACAACCCTGGTGTTTTTCCCAGCCGGGGTTTACACATGATGCAAGTTTAGCAGGAGTGCACGTACGTAGATAGATCCTTGTGCATGTGCGGCCACCAGAACTGGTGCTGGAAAAGATGCAATGATTTTACAAATTCCAAGTGGCCAGCCGGCTTAGATCCATGGACCGCGGCCAACACCTCCCCCCGCAATAGTTCTGGAACAAACAGTCTATTGTCCTTATACCAGCAGCCATTGTCCCGTTGAACCAAATCCCCTGCCACCCTCCCTCTGAGAGGGTGGCGGCAAACTTGGCTTCTGACCCCCCAGCAGGAGGGGAAAGGGGGAGGCTTTCCGTCGCCTGCCTTCGTGTCGTCAGCGCCCCGCCTAAGTGGGAAGACGTAAACATGGAGTCTAGGACCTCCTCCCTTCAGTTGTCGTGTTGTGGGAGGCGGGACAAAGCATCTGCCAGGGAGTTTGATTTGCCTGGGAAATGGTGGAAGGTGAACTGAAACTTTGACGGAAAAATCAGCCCACCGAAGTTGCTTAGCGTTCAAATTGCAAGGGGTGCGGAGCACTTTGAGGTTTTTATGATCCATCCATACTTCAAATGGTACCCGTGCCCCCTCCAACCAATGTCTCCAAATACAGAGTAAAGCTTATACTAGTGCAATGAAATAGGTGAAAAATGTCATTGAACTCCATGTGAATCGGGTAGGTTTTCTATTCAAGTGCAACTTTCCATACATCATCCACTTATAGATTCTTGGTCAGAAGAAGTCGTTGTCGAAACGGCATCACATTCCAGAGACCACCGTCCCGCCATCTTTGTTATCTTCTATAACTGGATTTACAATTTGAGTATATTAATATTATTTTTGTAATTTTCATATTTACAATATTATTACTATCGTTAAAGAAACATTGAGCGCATTTTACACAGTTCCTGTGGCTCTATCTTTTCATGTCTATGGACTGTGACCATATGTGTCTTTGTCCAAGTACAGAGTGCCAGCCGGATTGCCCCAGCTTCCTTATCCCATACCGACCAGGTTCTTTCTGTGTCATTAAATTTGCGGGACACATATGCTAGGGGATGGAACTTGCAATGTATCCCTTCTTGCAAGATCGCACCACCTATAGCGACATCTGAAGCATCCACTTGGACCACAATTTTTTTTGTTTCATCAGGGTGCACCAACACCGGTTCTGTTGTAAACAAAGCTTTTAATCGATTGAATGCTTCTTGGCATTCGGGAGTCCACTCCTCTTGCGTCCAAGCCGACAAGGTTCTTGGGTCCGGTGCACCCATGATGCTGTTCCAGATCTCAGTATTCAGCCAAGGCGATATTGCTGTGCTAGTACATGGTCGGACCAATCATGGATTTTAGTGGCCTGCCATTGAAATTTGGTCAAGTACTCTCTAACCGTCAACTTTCCTTGCTTGAATGTGTGGAGAAACGCTTCCGCCTTCTCAGCCGCGGTGCGGTCCTTGAACCAGGCTCTTAGCGCCCACATAAACGCATCTACGTTTCTCAACTCCACCGCATCCAGGTTGTGAAGACTCAGGTACCAGCTGGTCACCACCTCCCGCAAACGAGAAGCAATAAAGTCCACCTGTTGCTCTTCGTCTGGGAATAAATGAGCCCACTGCTCCACAAACTTCATGACCCATACAATAAAAAAGGAGAGGTGTTCTGGATCGCCATCAAAGGTAACATCCAGTAAGTCCTTGGGTCACGGCAAGGCTGGTAGAACAACAGGGACCACGGGTTGCAGCCCCGGGGGTAGTGGAGGTGCCGCCAGTGCAGGCAGTGGAGGAGGTGGCAGAGGTGGCGGAGGAACTGGCTGGCCAGGTCCTGGCCTTGGAATGGGGGAGACTACCGGGGGGGGGCCTTGGGCAGCCCTTTGGGTCTGTACCGTGGGGGCCACTATTCCCCAGTAAGGTCTGAAGCAATTGTCCCATGTCCCGCATTAACATGCGGCAATCCAGTTCCAGGCCATCCAGGCTCCCATCTACGTCCCTTCCCGGACTTAACGAGGACCTCGATAGGAACGTGATGGGTCTGCCTGGGGTCATCTCGAAACTTCCCGAGCTCGACCGGGGGTCAAAAATACTGCCCCGACTGTGACTGCCTGGCATCGACCAGGTAGTCTGCTTGGGGTCCCCCAAATGACGGCCCCAATCCCTCTCCTTGCGGCGGTAGGTTACTCCCTACCTGAAATGCACGGGGATGAACGACACTGCCGGACAAGGGGTGGCTCCTTCGGCTGTAGACACCGGGCCCCCAGGGCTCACAGTCGTCAGTGGGGCTGTCATCACTGGCACTCCCGTTCCCAAGGTTGTCTGGGGAGGAGTCCTGGCACCGTAGTAGGCACCAGGGTAGATGCCATGATAGGCACCAGGGTAGGCGTACCACCAGATCCGCTCATCTTGGCTGGGAGTGACTCGGCCCGATGGACGGAAAAAGATTCCTGATAATTCTGTCAGGGTCAACAACATGCAGGTCGAAGCACACTCTTCAGGAAAGGTTATGGTTTATTGGAATACAGTTTTGTTGCTAAGTAGTATAGGAACATTGTCAGGAATAACGATTAATGCAAGGAACTCAATACATATACTCTGATGCCTCACCTAGCTGAGCAAATGAAATCCAACCGCGTGCAGGGGAATTCTCCCGGCGGGAGATCACATCATACATGGGAGACTCTCCCGAACCCCTGAGAGCAGAAATATTCACACCCATAGTGGAATGCAAGCCCTCTCACCTCTTCAAGGCTACATACACAACGCTGGCTGGCTGAGCCAGTTTGCACGGCTCAAAGAGCGCCTCCCTTAAGTTACCCACGGCAGCTACGCAAAGCAAGTAAGCAAGTATGCAAGCAGGCATGCACGCATGTGTTAAGGTCAAGGACAGAAGAAAGCAAAGAAAACATGGCAGCTAGCTGACACTACTCTTGTGTATGTTTATTTTTTATATATGTGCCAATCCCTAACAAAGGGCTCACAACAACCAGTGTTGGGGCTGTGGAAATCAAACATCAATTATCAGCAATGTTAAATTCTATAATTTCAGTTATGAAATGGGATTTCCTTATACAGGCTCTTCGTTGATCTCTTGCTCTAAATTTTGACACAGTTTGGATCTATAATTTTAAAAGGCTGCAGACCCCTGATCTGTATTATTGGTTTGTGTGTGCTTGGAAAGTACAATGAAGAGGACTCACGACACAGAATTATGGATTTTAGAAAGCCCTTTGCCTGGAGATACGTCTGTAATCTTGAGCAAAATATGAGTGTGTTCACCTGTTGGGATGTACTTCTGACCTTTTAAAAAAACACCTTTATGTGAACCTTTCTTGTATGCATTCTCCACCCTGTTAAAATACTGACTTTGGGTACACTGTACACTTAAGGTCTGCTTTCCTGGAACTTGAGAGGAGGAAGCAGTTAGTTGTTTCCGTTCTGCTCTAAAGAACAAGGGTCTCACTGTCGGCAAGTTTGTACTGAGAAATGGAGTTTCTTTCAGCAGTTGTCAAATTGATACTTCCTGAGCTATCCTAATCTCCCCAAAGCTTCTATGTTAAATAATATTTCTTTCTTGTTTTGCATAATAAATATTACGCGAACGGGGAAATTTCGTGAGAACACTGCGTAAAGAATTTCTTCATGTATTGTCCAATTGTGGATGGGTCAGTAATGTTTTCTGAAAAGATAAAGCAGTCTGTTGAGAAATGTTGCCACTTGAGCATATATAAAGGGGACAGCATGCTCAGTTAGTGAAACCCTGCAAGAAGGTCCTGATTCTAGAAGGTAAGAGGGTGTTTATGAGACAAAGAAATTAAAGGGTCTTTGTGGGTTAAATAATGAGGCACAGTGTTGTGCTCAGTGTTCCCTCTAAGCTGAGTTAGTGTGAGCCAGCTCACAGTTTTTTAGCCTCTGGCTCAAACATTTTTGTCTTAGGCTCAGGACAGATGGCTCCAGAGCAAACTAATTTATGCGGTAGTCAATTCCTCGCCCACAACTTTCATGCCCAGTAGCTTACAAAGTAGCCTTTTTGCTCACAAGACACCGCAGCTTAGAGGGAGCATTGGTTCTGCTATGTCTTCTATGTCTGTATTCCAAGAAAAAGTGTCAACAGAAAGATGTCAAACTGTTAAGTTTTTCAGAACTCTCAATAACTTGTTTTTAATGGGTTAGACTGATTAACAGTTAAATACAAGAAGAACAAAGTTTGAGTCCAGGGGCACCTTTAAGACCAACGAAGTCTTATTTTTTTATATATAAAATTTTTATTTTCAATTTTAACATCAACGTTAAACAATATCAAACATTAACTTAAGAACATTAAACTTTACAGAATTGTTTTGACTATCATTTCTCAATTTACAATTACATGAAAAGGTTTGTGTCAGCAAAAGCGATCAATTGATTAAATACAGCCCATATATCTGTCTCAGTTACAGTGCCCTTTTCTTTTGAATAAAAGCATAATATTGTGATTTCTGCGTAGGTGTAATTTGTTCCAGAATATTTTCCAGGTTTTCCAATATTGGATGCCATCTTCCGTAAAAAGCCTGAGATCTCGACATATCTTTGGAGACGGTAAGTCTTTCCGAAACTTTGTCCATCAATAAGTGGTCCCATATTTTGGAATACCAAACTCTAATAGATAGTGACTTATTATTCTTCCAACTTTGGGCTATGGTTGATTTAGCTGCCGCCGAAAGAATAGTAATTAGTTATTTTGTATATATTGGTATATGGATGTCTTTCCAGTAATTTAATCATGAGATTTCAGGCTTTCTCGGTATTACATGTCTAGTTAATTTTTCTATATGGGTCAATATTTTCCCCCAAAATATTTGAATTTTGCAGCAGTCCCACCAACAATGGTAATAAGTTCCAGTTTTGCCACATTCTCTCCAGCAAAGCTGCGAGATATTTTTATTTATTCTGTGTAGTTTTAGTGGGGTGAGGTACCAACGTGTTATCACTTTGAATTTTTGTTGTTGTATGTTTATCGCTTTTGAGGTAGAGGCATAAGAATTCCATACTATCTCCCAAAAAGGTTCAGGTAATTCTCGTCCTAGGTCTTTGGCCCAGGAGGAAGCGTATGAAGGTAAATTGGAGGGTAAGGGGTCTATGAGAATTTTGTAGATTTTGGAAATCAGGCCTCTTCTATTTCCAAAAGGAGTAAGCAAAAGTTTCTCAAAATCAGTGTGGGGTCTTCAACAGGCTTTTAAAATTTCGGTTGTATCAAAGAGATGCTGTATTTGAAAATATTCAAACCATGGGAGGATAGTTGAAGCTAATGTGTCTAATTTTGATTTTTCTTTCAGAAGTTTCTTTTCGACTAAATTGTGGAGTGTAAGAATTTTGGCTTTTTTCCATAAACGGTAAGTATTTGGTTTTTGAGCTGGGGGGAACCAAGATTGTTCCAGGTATGTTGACGCTAGTGAAATGCTTGGGGCTAAGTGATTCCTCTTGACATTCCAAGTTTTAAATCATGCCTGTAAAAAGAAATGGTCCAATATTGCCTTGGATCTTTCTGAATGTTTATTCCAAATAACAGATAAATAATTTTGGGAGTTTAAAAAAAATTCTTCTAAAAGAATCCATTCAGGTTTTGGGTCAGAATTTTGAATGCGTACTATACTAGATAGTATAGTTGCTTCATAATATTTTTTCAGGTCTGGAATCGCCAGCCCTCCCAATTTAGATAGACGCCGTAGCGTGTTAAATGAGATCCTTGGTTTTTTGTAATTCCAAATATTTTTTTTCCAATTATTTTGCCATTGAATGAATTGAGTGGGGTGGATTGGGATCGGCAGTGCATGGAAAAGATATAAAAATTTAGGGAAGATTATGGATTTTAATGATATTATCCGTTCCAGCCACGATAGGTTTTCTCTTTGCCATTGTTCTGTAATATTTTTGGAGTTTTCAGCTGCGTCAGCGTAATTAGTTTTAAATAGATTTTGAAGATCAAATGGAATTTTGATGCCCAGGTATGACCAATGTTGGGAAACCCATGTATAGCTGTATGTTGAGGATATATATTGTCTTAAGTGATCTGATATCTTTATTGGGAATAGAATGGTTTTGGATTGATTGACCCATAGGCCTGATATTAAAGCAAATTCCGCCAATATCTGTTCTATCTGAGGAAGTGAGGTCTGGGGATTTGAAACGTAGAGGACAAAATCATCTGCAAATAGACTGATTTTGTATGTAGTTTGGTTAATTGTTATTCCTTGAATTTTTTCTAGTTTCCTAATGAGATTGGCTAAGGGTTCTATCGATAAAGCAAAAAGTAAAGGGAAAAGGGGACATCTTTGATGCGTACCTATAAAGTAAGTTCCTGTGATGTTGCATTATTGATAACAATTAGTAGGAGAGGCATATAATGCTTTAATTGTTCTTTGGAAGTTGGGGCCAAACCCCATTTCCTGAATTATGGTTTGTAAAAATTTAGGTTCGACTTTGTCGAACGCCTTCTCTATGTCCAAAGAGAGAAGGCATGTATTGGGCATATATTTCTTACAATATTGAATGATTCCTATTGTCTTTCTAATATTATCTGTAATATCACGGTGGGGTATGAAACCAGACTGATTAATGTGAATGTAGTTACCAATAAAACTATTTAGTCTATTTGTCAATATAGTAGTGAAGATTTTGTAGTGACAATTTAAAAGCGATATTGGTCGATATGATTTGGGGAATAAATTGTCTTTTCCTTTCTTTGGGAGGACTATTATTTTTGCTTGAGTCCATGTTGGGGGGAGTTGGCCAGTGGTTAGGATGTTATTACATACTTCCTGTAATGGGGTTGAGATTTTGGATATAAATTGTTTATAAAATTTGGCTGTATAGCCGTCACATCCCGGTGCTTTGTTTATTTTCAGTTGTTTTATGGCTGTTTTCACCTCATCAATTGTTATAGGTTCATCCATTTTTTCTTTATGTGATAGTGTTATTTTCTGTAGTAGATTGTTACTGTGGAGATAAGATTGAATGTTATCTTCATTGGGTTGATCTGAAGTGTATGATTTTTGATAAAATTGTTTGAAAATTTCAAGGATATTCTTTGTGGAGGTGTTAATATTACCTTTTAAATCTTTAATAGAATGTATAATCCTTGAAGATTGTTGGGTTTTTTAGTTTCCAATTAAGTAGTTTTAGTGTTCTCGGGTGGCGAAACCAATATTGTTGTTTAGTAAACAATAGTCCATTTTGAATTTTATTTATTTCTAATGCGTCTAGTTTCTTTCTATTTATAAGGAGCCGTCTATACGTTTTCTTTGACCCTGTTTTTTTATGTAGGTCTTCTAGTTGTTTAATTTCATTCTGTAATTCTATTTGTAATTTAGTTTTTTGTCTGTTATAGGCTGCCGAGATGGAAATAATTTTACCACGAACCACAGCTTTCATGGCATCCCAAATAATAGGAAGTGAAACTTCACATGAAGAATTTAACTCAAAATAATCAGTTATGGATTTTTCAATCTCTATACAGTTCAATTGACTAAATAAAACATTATTATTCAATGACCAAGTTCATGTTTTTTCAGTCTCAGAGTGCATATTGATGTGACATCCCATCCATGCATGGTCCGAAAGTGTCCTAAGTCCTATTTCTGTGTCTTGAACTTGATTGAATAATGTATTGGAGATCAAAATCAGATCAATACGTGTAAAAACGTTATGTCTGGGTGAATAGTATGTGTAATCTTTAGCACCTAGATTTTTTTGTCTCCATAAGTCACATAATAGATATGAGTCTATAAGGTTTTGCAATTTAGAGGTAGCGGTCTTGGTATTAGTAGGTTTTTTAATGGGGTGGGATCTGTCCCAAAAAATGTCTGGGGTATAGTTAAAATCCCTTCCCACTATTACCTGGCCTTCCTGGAATTTTCCCAATTTCATAAAAGTTTCTGTAAAAAATTGATCTTGATTTGTATTAGGAGCATAAATGGATGCGAGCGTGACTAAATTGTTATTTATAGAGCCCTTGATGAATATATAGCATCCTTGAGTATCTACAGATTGAGCTATATATTTAAATTGTAGGGATTTTGAAATTAGGATGGCCACTCCTCTGGATTTTGAGGTGCCATTTGCTTGAAATTGGGAATCAAACAATTTTGTTTTTAAAACAGGGTAATTTGATTTTTTTTTATATATGTGTCTCTTGTAAAAATAAAACATCAGGGTGCAGCTTAACTAATGCAGAGCTTATCTTCCTAACTTTGATCCTATGATTTAATCCCCTACAATTTAGAGAATAAAATTTAACTGGGTTAGCCATTGTTTTGAAAGGTCAAAGGATTAGTCTCTGAGCATCGTTTATAGTCGTTCAACTGACCTTTGTAATGTGTGTTTTCTTGTAAAGATTGCTTGTAGTGAAATTGAGAAATTATCAGGTTAATTATATAACAACAATAAACATTGAACTCTCTTAAATACATTAAACCAATCTGTAACTTAACAAAAATATCTCCCTTAAAATCAGGGAGTAGACCTATTTGAGCCAGCCTCAATAAAACATGGCCTATGCTCGTGGGTAAAAGTACCCACAAATATCTATAATAAAAGGTTTTAAAATATGAATTTAAATATTAACAATTGAGAATTAATTAATTGGGGGGGGGGAGATAGAAAAACAAGTCCCCCCACCCCGCCCTAAAATTGTTAGTTTACAACCTATTAAGTATATAGAAGAGAGTTTCCTTAAATTGTGTATTCACAGTTAAGTTGAAAATACCCATGTTGATGGCATATTAGCCATATCTTTGTGTTAACTTATATATATAAATAAATAAAAGAAAGGATAGAAAAGGATCTCAAACAATTACCATAACTAAATAAGAAAGGTTAACATCACCTTTACACAGGAACAGTTTCTATTATGTTTGTCCAAAGTACTATAATGTTGTTTGGCTATTTATTACCAATTTCCAAACATTAATGAGGAGCCTGGTGGTACTTTGTTGCTAAACTTGTGGAGGGGTATAAAATTAAACATTTACAAGCTGTCATTATGACTAAATAAGAAGGGTTATCATCATCTTTAAACAAGAGCAGTTTCTATTGTTTAAGGTCAAATGACTATAATAATATTTAGTGATATATAACCATTTTCCAAACAGTGGTGGATTGCCTGGTGGTACTTTGCTGTTATACCTGTAAAGGTGTATAATATTAAGCTTATAACTTCACTTTGAAAATAAAATTAAAATAGGTTAACTTCACCTTTAACATTAATTGAAGAATAATAACAAGATTCCCAGTCGTGGAAAAAATGAAATGAGGTAGGTTATCATCACCTTTTATCGTTGGGAACGACACTTAGGTTAAAGTTAGCTGCACTTTTAAATATATTTAAATAAAAAATTAAAACTTGAATAAATAAAAGAAAAATAAAAAAGATTTCAAACAGTTGCTATAACTGAATAAAAAAGGTTAACTTCACCTTTAAACAGAAACAGTTTCTATTGTGCTTGTCTAAAGCACTATAATATTATTTGGCTGTTTATTGCCAATTTTCAAACAATAGTGGAAAGCCTGGTGGTTCTTTGCTGGAATACCTTTGGAGGGGTATAATATTAAACATATACAAACTGACATTATAACTAAGTAAGAAAGGTTAACTTCACCGGTAAACAAAAGCAGTTTCTAATGTACAAGGTCAAAGCACTATAGTATTATTTAGTTATATATAACCAGTTTCCAATCAATGATAGATTGCCTGGTGGTATTGTGCTGGTATATCTGTAAAGGTATATAATATTAAACAAATATCTTCACTTAAGAAAAACTTGAAATAGGTTAACTTCACCTTTAACATTGATTTAATAATAGGAACAAGATTCCCAGCCTTGGAAAAAAATTAAATAAGGTAGGTTGTCTTCACCTTTTATCGCTGGGAACCACACTTAGGTAAAAATGAACTGCACCTTTAAGTATATTTAAATAAAAATATATAAAACATTATTATAAACTCAGATATGTGGTTAGCCTATCTAAATGTAAGATTAGGGAAACATTTCTAAGCATCTTGCTGCGTATAGTAGGTTTCCAAGGTAGAAAAGAAAAGAGTTTCTTAACGGAATCAGTTTGTCAGCGGTGAACACGGATCCATCTTCTTTGAAACACTGGTCCGTTTGCTTCGGGGGGGAATCTTCTTTCAGCTGTGAAGGTGGTTGGGGGAGGTCCGCATCAATCCCCAAGGTCTTGAGAAGTGCAGAGCCAGAGTCCAGATCGTTCGCTGTTAATCGCTGACCCTGATGTATGACTTGTACTTCGATGGGAGAAGACCAGCGATAACGAATTTTGTTGTCCTGCAGTTTCTGGGTCAGTGGCCATAGGTTTCTTCTGTGCTGTAGTGTTTCTTGGGAAAGGTCCAGTAAAACTAATATTTTTTCGTTGTTCACCTTTGTTGTCTCTGGACATTCTGAGGATTCGTTCCCTTGTGCGACTGTCCGGAAAGCTTACAATTATGTCTCATGGGTATGTAGCGTTCTTTCTCAGCGGTGGGCCTATTCTGTAAGCTTTGTCTATGATAGGGGTCACATTATCTTCTAGTTTCAAAATTTTAGATAACCAAGAGGCAATGTAAGTTCTTAACTCGGACTCACCTTCAGTGTCTTCGGGCACGTTACGAAATTTGAGGTTGGGTTCCCGTAATTTGTTTTCAATCGTCATGATTTTGGTTGCAGCCCAGTCCTCTGATTTCTGCAAGCTCTGGATTTCGTCCTGAGCTGTAATGGCTGCCTCGAGGACCGTTTCTGCTGCTTGCGACACTTCGGAGAGAGTAGCGGTGATGGATTTCAACTCGTCTCTAAGTGGTTGAATGGCCAGTCGGATTTGTTCAGCAATTGTTGTCCCTATTGTTGTTTCCAGCTGTCTAATCGTTGTTAAAAATTCGTGCCTGGACAGCACAGAACCGTCGTCTTCAATGTTCTCGGTATCTTGAGCGTCGGCCATTTTGAGGTCTCGTTTTGGCGTGCTACCGGCCAGTCCCGGAGATAATTTTTTAGCCAGGAATTTCATTAGTTGTTGAGCTTTAGCAGCGTTTTTGGTCGCCCGGTATGCTCCGTTTTTTCCCATTTGTTGATTTAGCGTGAAAAGAGTAGATCTTCTAGGTTGTTTTTCAGATTTTCGAGGGTGAGGTGGAGGAGCTAATCTTCTATGTGTCCAACATGCTAGGACACCAAGCTCCGCCCCAACGAAGTCTTATTCAAAGTGTAAGCTTTCATGTGCAAAGCACACTTCCTCAGACAAATGGCATAAAATCTCCTCAAGGGTTACTTACAGGGAAAAAGAGGATGGGGGGC